TGGCAGTTTGGGGGGTTATTTTGCGTTTCCAATTGCCTTCTTTGGAAGGCATGAAGCTTTTGATTGTAGGACACGTGACTACGAGGGTCACCAGCAAAGGTTTCCTGGGCTTGCTGGGCGGGGGTTGCAAGAGTTAAGCTTCTCTCCCTCCATTTACAATCAAAGAACACCCACCCCCAAAACAGGCCTCTTTCCTCAACTCTGGGACCTCCAGATGGGCCTTTGACGGGGGGAAGAGGCCTTAAGGAGATGCGTGTCCTCCTCTGATTAGGTGGGACTTCAGCTCTTCTACATTACTCCCCAACCAGCCCAGTTTCCGCTTCTGAACATTGAAAGGCAACCCAACTGGAGGATGTTAAGTGGGCCAAAGTTCCTTGAACTTTTAATATTAACTGAGGTTAATATCGGGCATTGGCGGTGAGGGCTCAATGGCACGTTTATTTATTTTATTATTTATTAAACAAAATTATATAGCCACCCAACTCACACATAAAGCCTTACCTCACATCTCAGCTTGACCAAGATTTCTCTCTCTCTCTCCCCCCCCATCCCTAGTTTGGGGTGCTTTTTCATTTTAAAACTGCATTAAGCCACTGCGATCTATCAATTTTTGGCTAGCACATGGATCCGAGCTCACAATTCATATCTGCGCATCTTTCCAGATTCTTAAGTAAACACTGTGCACATCCACACAGAATGTGGCATCTATCTCTGAGATTGTGACATGCCTATGCACAAGTTCCCTTGTCTTAAAAACTGGACCTGGCTCGTGGGTTCAACTCCCTCACCTCCACATTCTGTGCAAAGCCATTCTTAGGCCCTCGGGGGGTTAGGAGGAGAACCTCTCCCCTCTAGGCCAGAGGTCTCCAAATTTGGCAACTTTAAGGCTTGTGGACTTCAACTCCCAGAATTCCTCAGCTGGCACGACCCTACTGGACCTTGGGAGGCCTTAGTTGAGAGGGTCAAGTGAGCCAGGCCCACCATTTGGACTTGGCTAAGGGTGAAGCAGGAGAGGCAGCCTGGATAGGCTGGGACAGATCTACCCAGCAACAAGATCTGCTATTTCAAACTCTGGCTTGGAATGAATTGGGAAGGGGCTCAGCCTTGGAGCAGCTTCTTCTCTCGGGAGGCCTAAAGGGGTGGCTAGAAAATCCTCGAAGAACTTTTGCTGGTGACCCTGATTTTGATGTCAAGCCTTTGTTTCCCATGTTGACCTTTCTTCTGAGCTGCAGGTTGAAGTGACCAGTCCGCTGGATTATAAACTATATGGCAAACTACAAAGCCTGGAGAACAGCAAAGCAACTTCATGCGTTCAGATAAGTTTTATAGCAAAAAATCTCTTCCTTTTCAAAGCCTTAGTAATCTCTTTTACAAACTTTACCTTGTATTATTACAGACTTTTTTTTAATATATTCAAAATAAGTTCCAAGGATTTCTTTCGTGGACTATGTACATAAGTGCAAAAAGACATGTCTCACACATTCGTACACCAACTGAATCAGTTTAACTGCAGCATATTGGTTTCTTCAACACTGTCACAGAGTTATTCCACGGTATTTTTTTTTTTTTTGATCTCTCATACATATTTTACTCTTCCTCTTTCTGCTTATAAATAAAAATATAATTCCTCTTTCTTCCCTGGCCCTGATTTGGACATCATTACTTCATAGGCTTAGAACATTGACCGATGAGCTTTAAAACATCAAGAATGGGAAAACCTATTGGGTTTCCTCAGGGAAATCCCTCACAAAAGGACAAAAAAGGCTTGCAAAATTCAAGGCAGACTTAATGATATTAAGTCCAACTGAAAGCAAAGGACTCAATTTTGCAGAATACCACATTCCCTTGATTTTGCTCGGACCTTCTGGGAATCTGTTAACCAAATTCTGTATTCAACTTTCCAAAATATCTATTATTTGGAAATGAAACTAACATTTTGAATGCTACAGTGTGGAAACCCTTTCTCTAATTTCGATCACCAAGAGAAAAAATACTGTGGAATAACCCAACCCACACAACAATTTCTACAAGCTATAAAACCTGACTCTAAATCCATGTGTTGTAAACTTTTGACTGAAAAAGTGACATCAAAGACACAGATCCAGCGTTCACATGGGACTTTGGGATTTTAAAAATATTCAGTCATATATTTTTCCGACAGTATTGAACTGTACCTTAAACAAACCCATACTGTTACACATTACCTTTTTTTTAATTTACATGTGAAAATTTCACAAATAATGTATACAAAGGTAGCCATGTTGTAGTTTTGTTGCCATAGCAACAACAACTTAATTATAATTAGTTAACAATGAATCTATCATTGTAAGGAGTTACATATAAAGTTAATTCTTCTGTTTGTTCTTAAACTGTAAACTATACAAACTAATTATGGACTGTATTTTTCTGTTTTCTATATCTTGGCATGCGCTTCAGCGTTGTTGTTTTTAGAAGATAACTAAAAGAGTTGAATACATGTATTTAAAAATCTTAACATTCTCTAACTCTCCTTCAAAAATTAAATCCATTAGTTACTAAAGGTTATATATTTATATATGTATACATGCACATGTTTGTGTGCATATATATATATATACACACACACACACACACACACATATATATATATATATGAAAGCAATAATAAAATCTGTTAAAACGAACAATAAAATAAATGAAAGTAATGCAACATGAATTAACTTGTTGTAGCCTATTAACAACGTCTTTTAAATTCTATTTACAATTATTTTTAGGCTATCAACTAATAATAGGTATCTTTTCCTTTAAAAAATCACTACAGTCTTAAACATACAATATATTCTAAGGCCTTGATCAGGCAACGTGGTAAAAATAATTTCGGTACATCCTTTCAGGAGGAAGGGGGAATTTAAGACGTTTCCTCATGTTTCACTTTTTTCTTTCAGTTGTAAGCGAAATGTATTACGGATTTTTTTTTTTAAAAAAAGGGGAAGAAACTCCAGTTTCCTAGCTTGCCAGATTGCTCCTGTATTAAGTGATCAACATGGCTGAGATCCCCAGGAGGCCAGCCTGCCTTTTGCCCACTGTTTCTCTAACTATCTAGCACAGGGGTCTCCAAATGTGGCAACTTTAAGACTTATAGAATTCTGGGAATTGAAATCTACAAGTCTTAAAGTTTGGAGGCTCCTGATCTAGTGTGTAAAAAGGGTCACTTTGAAAGGCCAGGATTGCATGTCTGCAGTCTTAAAGCTTGGGGATCGCACCACAATCCCCACTCTTCACATAGGTGTGGCTTCTCTGCAAACCCCCTTCAAAAGAGGGTATAAAACCTAATTTCTAAGATTTTTCTTCCCTCCCTAGCAATAACTGGCTCCGATGTACTTTCCCCCAATGCCTAACGGATGAAAAAAACACCACGGCTCAAATATCTTGCTAAAGCAACAGCTGCTTGCTCTCCAAGTAAGCAGGGCTGAGAAGTCAGCCTGCCGAACTCCTGGTGGACGAACAGTTTGTCCGCTTTGGAGGAATAAAAAAAGACTTGGGAGGAAGCCAGTTTTATTTTGGAATTTATTTAGGAAATTTATACGGCCTCTCCTTGCTACAGAGACTCTAGGCCAGTGGTTCTCAACCTGTGGGTCGGGACCCCATTTGGGGTCGAACGACCATTTCACGGGGGTCGCCAAACAATGCAGACCGCCATTTTTTGCCCCCTTTTCCTTAGCTGTGCTACTCCCTTTTATTCTATTGGCTTTTGAAAGCCAATAGAATAGATTCTCTTGAATAGAGTCTAATTCTATTGGCTTTCAAAAGCCAATAGGAATTGTCCAGGCTGTCTCTGCCCTGCTGAGCCTGCCAAAAGTCCCATTCTGCAAATGGTGCTGCACCAGTTGAGTAGTCCTCGTCTTACGACCAGTTGAGTAGTCCTCGATTTACGACCGGTTGGGGGTCGCGGCATTAAAAAGTTTGAGAACCACTGCTCTAGGCGGCTTACAAGCAAGGATAGAGACTAGGACAAAAAAAAAAAATTGCATCTGCCCTTGTTGGAAAACTATCTTACTCCACACGGCGTTTCAGCCTGGTTGCAAATTCAGAAATGGAGTTTTCAAGTCCTCTCCTGATATTATACATGCAGTCCTCGACTTACAACAGTTTGTTCAAAGTTACAATGGCAGCGAACAACTTAGGACCGCTTTTCACACTTACGACCGTTGCAGCATTCTCCCTAGTCACGTGATCAAAATTCAGACGCTGGGCAACTGACTCATAGTTATGATGGTTGCACAGCGTCCCGGGATCCCCCTTTTGGATCAATGGAGCAACCAGATTCACTTAACAACCGTGTGACTAACTTTACTGCTGTGATTCACTTAACAACGGTGGCAAGAAAAGTCATCAAACGGGGCAACGTTCAGTTAACAGCTGCCTTGCTTAGGGAGCGAACTGTTGGGCCCAACTGAGGTCTTCAAGGACTGCCTGTGTGAGGAAGGGGCGATGCACCGGGGGAAGGAATGGAAAGGAAAATAAACCACGTCTTGAGATGTCTTGGCTCCCGTATCAAATCTCTTTCCTGGCTTTGCCAGGATAAACGGCAGGCTGACTAGCAAGACTGAAAAAAGAAGGTGGGAGGGATCTGGAGCTGGGATCTCTTCTGCAAAGAGGGGAAACTGCTTAGCAAGACATTCCCCAAGGCAGAATGCACAGTGACCCTGAAAAGCTCTTCAGGGATGGGCTGGCTCTGGGAAGGGGGGGGGGGGGGAACGGGAGAGAATTTCACACAGTATTGCAAATTACACCACTTTACCAAAAAAAAAAAAAAAAAAAAAAAAAAAAAAAAAAAATCCCTTTATGCTAAACAATTTTTGTAAAAACGAAAAAAAAAAAAAAAACCCAAACTGGATTGCTTATGAAAAAATAATCTAATCCATCAGAACACTGTACTTTAAGATAAGAATCGTAATCCACCGACTTCTAAATCCCTCTTTTTTTGTGCATGTATGTTCAAGGTTTAGGAACATATGTTCTTTTTTTTTTTTTTAATAATGGAATGGCTAACAAATTTCCCCCCTCAAAAACGACCAATCAGCTTTTCCGTTTTCCCTCTGCAATGACCCGTTTTATTCAAGTTTCTGCATTTCTTGCATATTATTTGCATAAGGCTGAGAGAAAATGGGCACACGTACATCAATCCATAACCACATGCATACTTTTGAGAGAAAGAACTTTGGATAAATTAAAAAGGAACAGGCAGGTTTGGATCAACCTGCACCGGCTTGTAAAAAGTCGTTAAAACTCACACAGATTTCAACAATCTTTATAGACAACTCTGGAACCAAGTTCACACCTGAATCCAGGTTTGGGAGATTTGATTTAGAGTCACCAATAGCTCAGCGACTTTGTAGACAGAATGCAGCTCTCCTAAGGAATTTATAGTCTGCCGACTGTGTTTTCTTTCTTTCTTTCTTGAATAAAGAAGTCATTGCACAACAATCTTTAATAGTGCTACCCTCACAAATGGCATTTCTATTCCCACCCTCAGGTTGAAATTTGGTGAAGTTTCCAAAGCTTCAAGCTTTGCTCTTTTTCCCCCCTCAAAACTTTTCTTTTTCTTTTACAAACAAACACTAAATTTGCAAAGTCGATATTAAAAAATAATAAGAAAAAAATTCTTGTGGCACCTAGAAAAGTTACCCTGACACACCTATCACTGGATCGCCATATAAAGTGTGTGTGTGTGTGTGTGTGTGTGTGTGTGTGTGTGTGTGTTTATGTGTGTGATGTGCTATGTGTGTGACCATATAATCAGTTTCAATGTGGTCTGTTGCAGTACAACATATGACAGCTAGGAGTCAAGTTTTCCTACTTTTGTTTTTTTCTGTTTTTTTGGCTCCTACGTTTTGCCAAAAAAAAAAGAAAAAAGAAAAGAAAGGAAAGAAATTGCACCCCTGATATCCAGTCTTTCAAACACTTTAAAAGCTGTGAAACTGAATGCTGTGGAAATGTGTTAGGTTTACATTCCGCGCACATCTACGCAAGAATTCTTTTTTCCTCAACATCATTCAGAGAAAAGCAGAGAGAGTTACATTAAAGTGACAAGATTACACAAATCTCCATCTACACAGATAAGACTGAAAACAGATGCTCCACCTCTTTGCTTGAAGACCATAAAGCTAATACCAGCGTGTATTCACAAATGTGTGTGTGTGGGTGTGTGTTTGTGCATGTGTCTAATATTTCCAACTAGAGATCAGGGATGTTCTCTGTAGAGGCACTGCCACAGGTTGTGCAAATCCCATATCATCATCATCATCATCACCACCACCTTTTAAATATATAACTATCTGCACCTAAGGAGTAATTCAAATCCTGTTTTTCTCCATTAACACAGTTACAAAGCCAGGAAACAGAAAGTCTGCAACCGGGACTGAAGGACATTCAGACGGGCAAGGACGCCAAATTCAAGGGGCTGGATGAACATTTCGATAAGCCTTCAAAGTAACACCAGAGATCTTAGTTCTCTGGAAGCTTATCTCCACGTTTCCATCAATCAAGGGTGTCATCCAAGATGGGCTGTCCTTGTTTTTGGATTTTATGCAGTTCCAACTTTGGAGAGACATCTCAACTTACACCAGGGGTGTCTAACTGTGGCAACTTTAAGACCGGTGGACTTCAACCACCAGAATTCCCCAGCCTGGGAGTTTGGGAACTCTGGGAATTGAAGTCCACAGGTCTTAAAGTTGCCAAGGTTGGATATCCCTGACTTACACCCAAAAGTAAAAACGGCCAAAGACTCTCATGCTTCAGAACTGAGCACCAACCGAGCAAGCTCTGAGGTAATCCAGAATTACCCCCTAAATTGTAAATCAGTAGCTTACAGACAGACTATTAAAAAAAATGAAAATTTTTTGGAAAAGCTGTTAGACTTGTTTTGCTTCTCTACATGATTGGAGGCCAGGAAATGCATTATTATATACACAGCTATGTGAAATCACAGCTGCCAGCTCTTTGGCCTTTACACCCATCCCCATCTTCCCAAGGAGCTGGAATATCATAATGTACACAGGCGGTTCCAAGCAGGGTGGCCTTTTGCTATTGACAAATAGAAATGCGCAGACTTTCCAAGTGCCCTTTAATGAATTAACATTATTATTGGCAAGAGAAGTAGCTAATGGAGAACTGAGGCATCTGCTTGGTGCTACTTATCTGATTAAGATATGGGGTTGGGTTATGCATGTTTGAAAGGTTTCTTTCTTTCTTTTTGTTCTGTATATATTACAGATTAACCTTTGGTTTTAAGGGTAAAAAAGCCCCATTAAAAAAAAAGAATCAATCTTCTTCAACATGATTTCTTTAAAACCTGGTCACTAAAGGATTAAGAAGTTGAGGGCCACATACTGCAGAGAATTGTAACTGAAAAGTGATTTTTTTGTTTTGTTTTGCCAATATTTTCTGTGCTCCAGTGAAAATTCTTTAGCATTGAGTCCCTGGTCCTTTTTACTTTCTGTTCTGTTTCTGGACAAGTGTTGTTAGTTTTTTTTTTTTTGCATTATTTATAATGTTTAGAAATCAACCTAATCAGAAATGGATCAGAAATTATCTGCAACCTGTCTGAATTTCTTCAGATCTTCTGTTGTCTTTTTTTAAAGCAACTCCTTCCTGTTTCCCTTCGTAACCTTTTTAGCATATCGTTTAAAAGAGAGGGAGGGAAAGGCAGAGAAGGGGAAATTGATAATAACTGTCATCTATGGAAAGATATCATGATCATGAAAAAAATGGTGTGGAATATACTTGATAATGATGTACAACTTTTTGTCTCTCCAAACAAAGTCAATATAGATTAGGATGTAAACAAAACATTAAGATAACACTTTGAAAAACAGACAAACATTTATCCATTGACAATAGAACAATTAACCTAGTTAAGTCCACTGTGCAAGAGCACTTTGTCTTGATGGTAGACAGGAAAAAAGACCCACTTTTTGAAAAGTGTGTTAAAGTAAGGTATTAGAAAAGTCTATTTTATAGTTCTCTACTTCTATGTCTCAAATAACAGAGTACTGTTTTCTTACTCGTTTCTTTTTATATAGTGCTTTTAAAAAAATGTTTTGACATTCCCACAGATCAGTTTTTGGTTAACATGGATGCTGCCGTAGGATTACGGTCGATGCTGGAGAGGAGGAGAAGCGGGGGCAGAAAGCACAGAGAGCCCACTCCAGCTTCCCACCAGGAGAGGAGAGGAGAGGAAACAAAACGCACAGGGAATTCCGCCATTTTTGCTTCAGGAAGCCAACAGCACACTGGGGAAAGGGGAGAAAAGAAAAGAGTGACAACGGGGACATTTGGCAAAGGCAAGCAAGCCATGTCAACACAGCTGAAGCGTAACTTACTGTTGTGTTGCTTCTACATCTGTGACACAAACATGCTGCTGTTCAGTTCATCGACTGATAACTGGGAGATCTACAGTAAAACAAAGAAGCAAGGAAGGGAGTCCCATTAAAAGAGGCCCTCAAGGGTTAATGCTCTCTGCTAAGTTCCAGACCCCTCAGGAATTCTAAGGCAAAGTGCAAGGGCCATGCCATTACACCACAATGCCCTCGTGATGTTGCTCTGACCTCATGGCCCCTTCTTCCTCCGCTCTCCATGATTCACACACAGCCGGCTGGCTTAGATGGTCAGAAAAGAGAAGGTCGGGGGCCTTTTCGGATCACCACACTTGAAGGAAGCATCGCTTGACAGTTGCTGGGCATCGCTTTTAATGCGGTCTTTCCCAACTGTATCAGCTTTAAGATGTGGGGACTTTATCTCCCAGAATTCTCCAGCTAGCCATGCTGGCTGGGGGATTCTGGGAGTTGAGGTCTTCACCTCTTAAAGTGGTTGAAGTGGAGGAACCCTGCCCTGGCTATAACATTAATGGTGCAAGTGAGCCATCAAGTAATTTCAGGAATATTAAGTACGAAACCATCATCATCATAGCAGACTGAAACTGGTCCCTCCCCCTGACCGGGCACTGGGTTCCTCCAGACAGCAACTGATCCCTAGGAAAGATCAGGGAGCTTTGCTCACACCTCCAGGGCCAGAACCAGGGGGGGGGAGGAGGGGAGAAGACCTTCATCTTAAAGTGTAATTTAAATGAGCTGAAAACACACCGGGGAGATTTCACAGATTTATCCTTGTTCCCTTTCACTTCCATGAAAACATTACATCATAGCAACAAGTTTTGGCAGACTGTCAGGAAAGCTGGTTATGGGTTGGGAGCTGATCTTTCCTAATCAATATATTTTGCATGGCCCCAAGTTCAGTGCTTGGCATCTTGTCTCTGGTTAATTCTTACAGGATGGTTAGCTTCCCTGGAAGGAGCCCCCCCCCCATTGTAAGACTGGCACCCCAAGGGCAGAGCAACTGGCTGCACCAGGGAAGGCGCCCACTGCATTTTTTAAAAGGTATGAGGGGAAGAGCGGTCCTCTTTTCTCTGGCGACCCTTGCTTGGACTCCATTCCTTCTGTGGTGGAAGAGAGCCACTTCCAAGGAAGGACGCCAGCTTCATGCAATGAGCTGGCAGAAATCTCTTCTCCTCCTCATTAAACTTGAGCCCCCTGAACAGCTGCTCCTAGCCTGCCAGGTCTGGGAGCTTCTGCCCCAGCACATCTGGAGGGGAAGGCTGATGTAGAAGTGTGATACTTCTGGATCCTCTGCGCTTCCCTATCCCTTGCTTCAAAGTGATGCCACCCACATGCATGAAGAAGGCCTGTGCCCCGTGGCAGATCCACAGCATCTCCGAGGACCAGTCTCCTTTCATGGGATGCAGGCATTGGCCTCTCCTCAAGGCTCATAAAGAGAGGGTGGGGGTGCAGATGGGTTTGGGGAGGTGCCCTTGTGAATGGGCACCACTCACCCCCTACACACCAGTTGGCAGAGTTTCCAGACCAGTCCAGTGGCCTCAATGTGAGCATCAGGACGAGCAGCCCCTGACCGAACTGGGTTTGAGCAGCGCCCTTATTGTCCCCACCTCTACGTGACCCCTGGCAAAAAGCACCGGGCCCCCCCGTGGGCCTGGGCCAGCTCCTGGCCCCTCCGACCCCATGAAAGAAAGCTATCGAAAGGGGGCAAACCTGATTGGCTGTTGCAGTTGCAGCGAAAGGAACGCTGGTGGCGGGTGTAGTTGCTGCAGAAACAGTGGTGGGCGTAGCACCGTGCATCATGGGAACTTTTCGGTAGGGAACCATGGAAGCAACAAAACAGGAGGGTGGAGCGTTTATGGAACGCGGTGGGGGGCGTGTCAGGAGTCACAGCAACAAGCCGTGGTGACGTCATGGAGGGAGACACCAGGATGCGGCATGCAACCACAGAGCAAAGCAAAACAGCATCGGGGAAAGGGGAAGAGAACAAGAAAATAATAAGAGAAAAAAAGGGGAAAAAGCCAATTACAATTATAATTAAGGAAAAAAAACTAAAATATTCTCAACATTCAGTAAACATTTATAAGCAGAACAATGATGTATAGAAGACTCGGGGTGGGGGTGGGGTGGGGGTCAAAATTTCCAAAGATGGGTGGAAAAGGAACGAATAGCCAAACCACGTTTTCTCAAGGGGGGAGGGGCAATATAAGCAGGTCTGTTGTCTGCAACTAATTAGGAGACATAGCAATTACAGGCACACAGGACCCCAACCGATCTTGACTTGTGAGTAAGGGTCTTCTTGGACCTTGTTTGCCTCTGTGCACCCTCTGGTGGCTTCCTTGGCGTTCTTTCCAGTCGCCCCATAAGCCTCGGGGAAACTTCTGCTGGTTCTGTCACAATGGTGTTGTGGGTGCTGATGCAGCCCAGTTCAGCTGTCCGGATATTTTCCCCTGAGCCCACCCCAGTTTCTCCCAGAAGCAGAATACGGGAGAGGGGGGAAAAACTCCAGTGCCTGGAACATCTAACAGCTTTCAAAAATAACAAAACAGGAAGACTAAAAGTGGCCTGTGGATTTTAATGGAACACGGGCATTTGGCCTTTGTTTTTGAGGGTTTTTTAAGGTAAGGCATAAGGAGGGCTGCAATTTGACAAGACCAAGGAAAGGGGGGTTCTGAGATGCCTGATTAACGGCAAGGGACGAGGGCCCAAACCTTGAGTCTCTCTCTTGCCCACAGGGTGAGGGGTCTGAGGGGTGAGGGAGAAGACAAATACTAGGGTTGGCTTTTGGATCCCAGGAAGCCCCTTGCAGAAACGCGAAGCCCTGGCTGATAACTCAAGTAGCACCTTTAAAGGCCCACCTCCTGTCCCAAGGAGCAAACTAGGTAGAAAGATCAAGTCACCACAAACTTCAGAGCCTAAAAAGGGCCTTGGGCGTCCTGGAACCACATCTTCACCAAATTACTTATCCCAGGTTAGGTTGGAGGGATGTGAACAGCCCCAAAGGCATCTGGAGCTAGTTTCAAAGTAGTTTAGAGTAGAGCAAGTCACTGCTGGTTCGATCAACTAACATGCCCCTTGTGGTCTGGAGGAAGAAAGCTGCCTTCAGTGACCCAATTTTACATTCTCTGTTGAACTTGTTTGTCAACTTCCACAGCCAGCCTTCTGTTCTCCCTCATCAAGGTTAGTCAAGGGGAAACAAAATATCCAGGGGGGGAGGAAATGTCTGCACTAAAAGCAAACGGACAGACGTGAAGGAAACAGCAGTTGTAATGAATCTTGTTCTCCAAAGGATTGCACAGAAGCATAAGGCTAAGCTTGATTAAAGCTCCTCCTCACAGAACCAGCAGAAATGCTGTAAATTCATCCTTTTACAGGTTGACTCCTCAGGCACCACCACCAAATGTTTTCCCAGTAAGCCAAGTGAAATAAGAGTTAACTTTCAGAGGAGGTGAAATATGTCTGGGAATCCTAAGTATCCAAATACTCCCACGGGCAGGGAAATACAAAACAGTCCCTGCTCTTAACCTCCCCCCAGTTTTCCCCTTCTATGTCCAGCTCCTTTCTGGATTAAGACACAGGATGGCCCTAGTCCAGCCGGAATTACATTGGAGGTGACATCACAGCATTACATAGCCCATCAGACTGGGCTACAGGGAGATGTCAGCAAGGGTCCAAGGGCAAGGATCATGGAATGGATTTGATGCCGTTGTGACAGCTTGTAGCCAGAATCATTTGGTTATCTCAGGAAGAAATTAAGAGCTGAACAAAGGCAAGCAAGGGAGACGAGAAGGGGCCACGGAAACGCTGCCACGGGCACCGCTGCAGGAAAACAACCAGGGAGAGGATTGATTTTTAACGCTCATCTAAGCTCAGCTCCGCTGATTGCACGATCCCAGTGGCCACACTACAGAGACCTTTGCACAACCATTTCAGCCTTTACAGGGACAGTGGATTTTCAGCCCGACATATCATGGGACACTGCTAGGCACACACACACACACACACACCCTTACCACTCTCCTCCTCCTCCTTCCCCACCAGCGACCCCACTGAGCCAAAGGCCTCATTTGTGTTAGGAAAAGGTTGTGGAGAAAAACCTACCAACGTTTGCTGCGGGTGCCATGCACAGCACAGACCCTGCACGTCATGCAGTGAAGCGTGGAAAAGATGAACAGAAGGGACATTCGGTTAGTAAAGCCGTCCGTGGGTTAACAGGCACACATTCTGAGTAACACGACTATTTTACAGGGGGGTGTTCTCTGTGGGGCAGTGCCCACAGCATGCCCACACAGAACTCGGATCCAACAGTAATTGAACCGTTTAAATGTGGGCGCTACGGCCAAAGGGGAAACATATGCTTGGATTTTATGCAGGGGGTTTGTTCAGGGTGAGCTTTGAATCCACTCTCTGAATCCCTGCTTAATTTAGCCCCCCGCGCTCAGGACAGATTTTGCAAACTTATTTTGCCAGTTCTGCAGGAAGCCTGCATGAGAGAGCCACGTCCCAAAGGGAGAGAGTGGATAACGGGTGCCCCCTCTGCTTAGCCAGGCTGGCATTATCGGCCCACTGGCCAATGTTTTATCTTAAACCTCTTGGAAAGTCTTGACAGGCCGCATGTTAATTTTGTACGCTAGCTGTACAAAACCGGTGGAACACCTGAATGAATATTTGGTGAAGAGCAGAGTTCACACCTGCAAGGGAGGCCTCCCCTGGGTGGGTGGGAGGGAGGGAGGGAGGAGCTGCTATCAAAAACTGGCAGGGAGACAGGGAAACAGGCCCGCCTGTGATGGTTACTCACAGCAGCAGGAGAGATCGTTACTCTTTGAAATCCAAGAAAGCATCTAGATGCGCATTGGAGAAGCTACTTGTAGAAGACCAAGATATTCAAAAGGGAGGCGACATTCCTGGCCACCCACTTCCCAAAGAAATCCATGCTGCTTCCCCACTAATTCAACTGGAAAACTGTCTTAGACCCTGGGAAGGCAGCGAGAGAGGAAGTCCTGTCATTCAGCCCTCGGGAGGGGGCCTTTTCTCTGCCCACCCCCTCACTGGACAGCCCTGGCTCAGGCAGCACCAGCAAACCGGAGGCTCACAGCAGGGAGGGAAGTCGTGCACAGCTGCCCTGGGCAAAAGCTCAGCAGAGAGTCAGACCACCTCACGGCAAGGCGAGGGGAGAAGAGCCAAGGCACCTACCTGTGGGAATAAAGGCAGGCTGTTGCAGCTGCATGTTTGCAAGGGCCTGCTGGTAGTGAAAAACGCTTGGGCTGAAGACTGGGGTGGCACCGTTGTTTTTTTCAAGTGCTGGCCTCTTTGGTAAAGGTTGAAGTGCACCAGGTGGCAACGCCTGCAGAAAGGAAGAGCCGTAGCCAGTGGAAAGGGGAGGGGAGGGGGAGGGAGGAAAAAGGGAAAACCAGGTTTAGTCAAAGCATGGCTGGACCAGGAGAGCTGGTGTGATCTTCAAATCACCTGCAACTGCTGAGAAACAGGAGCTGGGACAGAATTCACCCCTTGACAGCCGAGGCAGCCGGAAGAAGTGAAACTGTGCCAACCAACGAGCGGGCGAGCAATCATCATCGCCACAAATCCCAGATTGCTTTTAAAGCCAATTTAACTGCCATGGCCGGCCCAGGTCTCCCTCCACTGAGCTCTTTCAATTCCGAAGAGGTCGGGAAAGGCCACAGAGGCAGGGGGGATTCGCACATCTGGAGGACGTCTGGGTCAAGGAAGGCTCCATTAAGGGAAAGAAGTAAAAGTCCCAGAACTGAAGGAGCTCTGCTTGTCTTCTTCTCCTCTGGGTTATTTTTGACAGTTAAGTAACTTTTAAACCCGCTGACATTTTAACTTGTTCTTTACACAAAATTTCAACTATCAAAGATGCTATTGGAATTCTCAAACTGCAGCGGGTATCAATGTGGTAGGTAACAGTTCAATTTTCAAAGGAAAAAAAGAAGGGAGGGAATTAAAAAAGAAAGGGGGAGGAATCAAGAATAATTTTCATTTGCCCAGAAGCAGTTGAAGAGGTGTGCAAGCAACAAGCATGAAAGACACATACAGGGAACATTAACAGCTAAGGTCAGAAATACAGCTATTAGCAGGGGAGGATTATCAGAAGCAGGGGAGGCCCAGGTGTTAATGCCAAGACTGCTGGCTACAGGTGTATACGTCACCCCACTTCCTGGGCCAGCTTCTGGTTCGAGGGCCGATGCGGTGCCGGAGGACACCGGCCTTCACCCCTGTTCAATTCTCTTATTTCTTTTACTTAGAGGATTTATATGGCTGCCCACTCACTCTCAGGAACTCTGGGCAGCTTACAAACAATAACACTTCCCTACGTGGTATGTTTGTAAGGCGTAGATGAAGAAGACAAGACTTTCTCTCCTCGTAATGAGCCAAGAATTTGTAGAGTGCTCAGTCTGCAGGCATGTCTTTTTCTCACCCTGACACCCAAATTGTGAATGCATCTGGGGCAGGAACAAAGCAGAATTTGGCGCGTGTGTGTGTGCACATGCAAGCCACAGCAGTAGCAGCAGCTTCTCTGCCCCACTTGAGTTCCTGAAGAATCACACCATCTGTAAGACTTAATTTTCTTCAACAGGAGGAGAGATGGCTTTTATGTTTTGGGGAGGGGCTTTAAAAACTGGCCAAGGGCAGCAGGGGAGTTGAGCGAGAGACAGATAAGAGCAGAAGCAAAGCCAGTCAAACATGGCTATCCTGGGCAGAGTGGTTGAGAGAAGACAGGTGCACAAAGAAAAAACATACCCCAAAGGTGAGCTAAGTCTTCACTTAAGCCAGAAGGAGACTTCTGGCAAATGCTTGTCTAAATGTGAAATCTAGTTGACATCCACTAGTTGGGGTATAAGCTAGCTCGGGGTGGGCAACGACAGCCTGTGGACTTCAACTCCCAGAATTCCTGAGCCAACCGTGCTGTAGTTGCCCACCCCTGAGTTAGTTCCTGCTCTATGATTTTGGGGATCATATTTTTGCCCCAAGCAGTACTCAACACTCTCTCCCAGGCTGCAAAACTCAAAAGATGCCGAGTCCCTTCACGTTCTGTCATAAGGCACAGGTGTGGGCCTTTTAGTGGATCTGGCGACAGGATGAATTTGGCCCAAAGGCTCCTTTCATTGGGATTTTCTGCCCCTGGGCTGGCTGGGCAACTTTCTAACCAGCTCATCTTGTCTGGAACACCTGTGGCATCACAAGGCGCTAATCCTCACACTTGTTTCACCATCACGCTTAAATGGAGAAGGCACTCACCTGCCGTGAGGGCTTTCACCCAATCTGCTACTCACTGCCCCCCCTAAACGTACCTCAAAAATAGAGATGCATCAGAGGCCCTAAGCAAACCTATTTTTTACTGTATGTATGTACACGTTAATATGTTTTTCCTCGTGTGATAGGCAGACTCCAGACACAAAGGAGAGGAAATACGAGAGAGAGGGAGGGGGGAAAGGGGAAAAAATGAATACTAAGGTATTCCATGCAATCTAAAGGATGGTTACATGCAAAGCTCCAAGTACCAGGTCAAAGTTTGCCTCCAGGGGTCGCTTCTGTGATCGGAGAGCTGGCTGAGTCTTAATTAGCAGGCAGCGAGTACATGGTGGTATTGAGGAAGGGGGGTTGAAGCACAACACAAAAAACAGCAAGCAGAGATGTGTCAAAAAGGAGAGCAACGTTGTGAAGAAGGCAGAGAGAAAAAAAAATAAAATAAAATGAATGCATTATCACAGTAATTTTTTTTTTTTTTGAAAAAACAAAAAACCAGACAACAATGCATGCACCACAGAGAGGTCTGCAACAGTTAAATTGGACAAAGAATAGCGGGGAGGGGGCATCCCTGGAGAAGTGTGAAGCTTGGGCACAGGACTTTCCATTCCCGTTTTCACAAATCATGCGGCAGGGGAAAGGCCAGTAGGATCTGACCCTTCACTGGGGGGGGGGGGGGGAATGAAAGCAGCACCACGCCATAAGCTCCGCCCCTTTCGTGGCATGCATGACATCACAGTGTGAGTGGAAAACGAGGGGTGGAGCTTCTGTCCTGATGAAGCTTCCATCACAAATCCTTCTGAACAAGGACACTCTTTTGCTGAAGGACTCCCAGTATGGATCCCTGGCCTTTACAGCTATTCTGCAGAACAGACCCTGGTTTCTCATCTAATGTCTCTGTAATGTGCAAAAAAATATTTCCATGCTCCCCCACTCCTTTCTTTAAACTAGAGGTCTAACCTTGCCAACTTTTAAGACCAGCTCCCAGAATTCCCCAGCCAGCACAGCTAGCTGGGGAATTCTGAGAGTTGAAGCCCACAGGTCTTAAAGTAGTCAAGGTTGGGCACTCCTGGTTTAAACATTCATTGGATAAAAATCTCCGTTTTTAAAGTGAACACTAGGGAATAAAGACTAGATTGTGTGAAATTGGGCTCTCAATTTGCCTAGCTGCCCTTTGAGGATAGCTTCTGGTTTTTAGGGCTGATTAACCGGGCTGAATTCTTGGTTCTAATTCAGAGAGCCTACTCAGAAGCAAGTTCCACTGTTTTCAGCGAGGTTTACTTCTGTGTAAGCAAGCAATTGGAGGCGTGTAACCAAATTGAGTAAATATTTGTGAAAAAAGGGATGCACTGGACGTGTGAAATATTAGTAAGTAGCATAGGTAGCACTTGTCCAGAAATATTTGAAATATCAAGATTTCTTCCAAACTTAAGAAGGAACCCCCTATTCTCAAAGAATTTTGAGACAACCTGCCGGAATTCTGGATGTGTTTCCAGCCACACCCTGCTTTTCTTCAAGATGACCAACAGATTTAGATTTAGATAATCTTTATTGTCATTTTTTTTACTGTGGACACAATGGCACATAGCACAAATGAAATTCAGTTGCCCGCTCTCAAGTGAGTCCCAAACACAAGCATGATCCAAGGAAGTGTTCCATCTAAACACTGCTCAGAGTGAAACCAACTTTCCTGGAGTCTTTTCATGCCGGGACTTGGGGGAGAGATGAGACTGAAAGACCCCCGTGCCCACACAAGTTGGTGTGAAGGAGGCCTGCCTCCCATTCCTTTCAGCTTTGGCTTCCAAATCCCTGATTTATAGAACCCCACTTGCTTACAGCTGCTGGAACAAACCAGAGTTGCCTTTTGAAAATCTGTCGGTGAATGTTTCTTTCTCTGTCTCTGTTTTGCCCATCGATCAATCAACCAGTTGATCCCTCAACCCACCAGCCAATTACTGCACTACCTTAAAAGGCGCAGGAGGGCAGGCTTTGCCATTCATCAGCACCAGTTGGCAGCTGATGAAAAGTTTGAAAAGAGATAATGTCCGATAGAAGTTTGGAGACTTGGGGAGAGGGTGGGGTGGGGAGCTAGTGAATATTACGCGACAGTTCGGATGACCCAGCTCTGAAAATAAGCAATCAGTAAAATGTTCTAAGGCTGGGTGGGGTGGGAGAGTTAAATGGCACACTGCTAATAAAGTGTATGCTGACAAGGGACAGCATGAATTCAAGATGAACTGGGGTGAGGTGGGGTGACAAATGTTACAGCATGTCGGGAATCAGCCCTGATCAACCAAGAACGTGTGAGCCAATTCTTCCAAACACTGATGAGCAGCTTGACCATCAAGGTGTTCTCTTTTAGTAATAAGACCCATCGAAAACCCAGAGTTGATGCTTGGCATCTTAATGTCTATGGAGATTCTCGGTCATCCAGGTCCTGGTTGTCCCAAAGTTGCTTTTTCAAGAGGCAACTGGACTTTCTTGTTTTTCTTTGAAGACATTTTGCTTCTCATCCAAGAAGCTTCCTGGATGACAAACGAAACGTCTTCAACAAAACACAAAGTCCAGCTGCCTCTTGAAAAAGCCCCTTTGGGACAATTGGCATCTTAATGTGAAACAGGGTGATACAGGTATGGGTACAATGGCATAAATCGGCTTTGTAAAGACCAGGTTGATCTTAAACAGAAAATTCTCCCTGGCTCTTTCTTGTAAACTTTCTACACTGAGAGAGAGAAAGTAGGCAGAGGAGGGCGCTCTGCAGAAGGAGCTCCGTCTGTCTGAAACACAAACACACCTCCAGGGGCTTCTGATACAGAAATGGCAGGATTTGCTCTATGGGTTCTGAAATCTTTGGAGGGTGACTCTATTAAAAAGGGGAAGGGGCACCCCCAAGCCCCCCACCCCGTCCCCCCTTTGTGGGGCAACGCAACATTCAGCCAAGTCGTCGCCGGAGGCGGCTCCCTTACCATTGCGGCTGCAGCTGTTTGATTCACCTGGTGCTGAGCTGCCTTGATTTTAGCTTGCAAATGCGCAGGGGGGTGAAAGTACTTGCATTTCTCCCTGGAGCATCGGCCTTTGATGTAATCCATGCACACCGTGACCGTGTTCTCGTTCGTGTCAATCATGGCAATATCGATCGGGTGAGCGTAGCGGCAGTCGTTCTCTCCTCGCGTGCAATTTCCACGCTGAAATTCTCGGCACACCTGGAAAGGCAGAAGTGGGATTCAGACGGGGAGGTCCTGCTGGCCCGGATGTAACTCTCAAGACAATCACTCTGCGCAGTTTGTTTAAGAAGGGTGGCCATATCAATTTGCAAGACAGAAAGAGAAACTATACAGTAACGCTATGTGGAAATGGCTTTGGGAGACAGGGTAATATCTGGATAAGAGGCAGCTGAGCCTGCCCACAGAACAGGCGCATGGCAATTGTCTCAGAAGGGACCCTTCTTAAGTTTTTGGAACTGCAAAGGGCAAGAGGGAAGAAATGTCCTTTCAGATGGCACCATTCTATTAATGTAGCCTTACAATAAAATTATAGTTAATTCTCCCGGGTGTGCTTCTTGTCTGGACTACCTCACAAGGTTGACAGAAACAGAGCAATCCGCACCTAAATTCTCCTATCAATTCCCTATGAAATACGGCAATGAAATCCAAGCCAACGCAAATACCTCTAATTTATCTGTCCTCATTAGTTTCTGCCCCGCGGGGCCACCTGGTACTGAAACTGCAGGGTTGCTGGACACCAGAACAGGTGTGTTTGTTAAGAGCTCTGCAGGCACCAAGCCCATCCCTGGAGAAACGTGGCTTAAGTAGGGGCTGAATGCCATGGTGGGGCTGGTTGCAAGCGAAGGAGTCACAGGAAATGTTGTCTGTAAGGGAAGAGCAAGCAAAGACAGGCTGTTATCACTGGGCAGATGGTCATCTTTCAATATTCGTCAATGGGCCTCCACCATCCACTCTTTCCCCGTTCTTTAGAAGGGCTGACGCACCATGCTGCTTTGAAAAGATTCACCCAACACTCAGACACCTACATTTGGGGGGATTTGTTTCCTCCATCTACTCTTATGGATGCCACATACTGGAAACACACAGTATTCTTGTCTGCGTGGACAAAGCACAGTCCAGAAAATTAACATCTAAGCCTACAAAGTCAGAATGTTGGGTCTCTTGAACAAAATCTGCCAAGAGTCTTGTGGTACTCAAAGGACCATCCAATTTATGAGGGCAGAAGCTTTTGTGGACTATGTCCCACTTGTTCAACGCATGGACCATTGTCCTGAAATAACCTGGAGGGGTAAGTGGCGAATGGCACACGACAACCTTAGATCTCTTCACTAAAGTACCAATTTTGAATGCTGATGTTGGGCTTTGGGGAAGGTCAGGGATTCTGCTGACATTCCACCTGCTCCAATGCATTTCCCCACCTTGAAGTCACCGACAATTTTTTGAACTTATGTTGAGGACTCCCTGATAGGTGCGACCTGTGCCGTTCAACGGTGTCACCTCGTTCATCTTCATCTTGGTGGAAATGCACCCCTATCTTACCTCTAGCCTTTCTATCCCAAGAAGCCCCCAAGCTTGGCCCTTACCCAAAGAATTATTCCTGCCACTTACAATCGGCTGCAGCTGGGCTCCAGGGACCATGAACTGCATCTGCTGTGCAAACATGGCAGCGGCTGTCTTTTGCTGGATCAGGTTGTTACGCCCATTGATTTCAAGTTGTGTTTTTAAGTGTGGTGGAGGGTGAAGGTATTTGCAGTTTTCTCGAGTGCACCGACCCTGAGGGGTTTGTGGAAAAAAGAAAGGCAGATCTTCAGAAGCAGAAATCCCGGGAGACCAAGATAAAATGGATTATTGAGTGTATCCCACGTTTACTTTGCATTTTATGCAAGATATTAGCACAGAAAATTCATGACAGGGTGCGATGGTTTTTTAAAAAAATTACATGTAATATATTTAACAAACAAAAATTAAAAACACTCCAACAGGGAGGATGTAATAAAATGTATAGTAGTAATAAAAATAAACTAAAACTTTTAAGTAGTAATATACAATTTGGGTGTGCTATTCTGCAAAACTAAAATGAGCTTTCTAAGGCTACAAACCCTGTGATTATATCCTCACTGGCCCTTCCATTATCCAACTGAAATAACAGACAATCAATCATCTGCCACCCAACATCCTAGACTTAACTATTGCCAATCAGAAAGATCAAGAAGTCTGGATAGTGGATATTGCAGTTCCTGAAGACAGCAGAAGAGAGAGAACTGGAGAAAATCACAAAATACAAAGATCTGCAAGCAGAAGTAGAATGTCTGTGGCAAAAGAGAGCAAAGAACACCTACAGGAATAGGCACCTTGGGTGCAATCCCAAAATATCTGGAGCACCACTTGAACACCATGGCATCGACAAGATCACCACCAATCAATTGCAGAAGGCAGCTTTAGAGCTTACATCCTGCAATGCATTCCCCAACCTTTCCGGGTTGGTGGCTGGGGGGAGGAGGGGAAGGGGATGGTTTTGTGGGAGGGGTTGCAAATAGGCCAGACTGGTAATGGGCTGCGGCCTTACAGGTTAGAGACCTCTGCTTTAAAACATCCACATCTACCTAGTATTCCAGGGGAAGGACTCAATAGATGGACAAAAATGCCAAATCTAATCTGAACATCTGGCTGACGGGACAACCAATCATGATAATACTAGCACAGCATGCCTGTCATGAACTTCAACTCCCAGAATTCTCAGCCAGCCATGATGACCAGAGAATCCGGGGAGTTGGTCCACTTATCATCTTCAATTGGTCAAGGTTGAAGCTTATGGACACCCTGGCCCTGCACTCAGGTAATAAGGCTTCCCAGCCACGTTTAGAATAAACCCTCTTGGGGGGGGGGGGCTTAGATGTGTGAAAATCCGCTATCAACATTTCAAGCAACTGAGTTCCTAAGCCAAGATTTTACTGGGAACATCCGTTGTTTTAATTGGCAACTCTGCAGAACATTCAATCAGCTTGGCAGTTCCATGTGGCTGGAGGGGAGAGGGCAGGGTACACCACAGACTGAGGGTGGGGGCTTTTGGCTTTCAGAGGGCAGACCTCTTGAATCAGTATGCTGGAATAAAAAATGCTACTCCATCTGCTGACTCAAAGGTGTTAGTAAGTCCTAACTCTAGGAAAAGCATGTATGTGTATGTGTGTTGCTTGTGTTTTACTTGCCTTTCTTTAACAAAGTTCTTGTTTTTTTTACTAATAGACAGTATGTGGTCCTACACAAGGGCTGGGAAGATCAAATCCATTCTCAGCCACGCAAGTGCATACTTTCGCAACCCAGCCTACCACACAAGGTTGCTCTAGTAGAGAAAAAGTGGAAGAAGAACATTATATAAGTCATGAAAGCTCAAGCAGACTTTTCCAAGAGGTTTGGAAGCCATCAGGAAAGAATTTCCATAACTACTGTGTATGAAATATGAGCCTTATTTGTAGTTAAATTAAGGTTTCCCTGAACAATGCAACAAGCTAAATGCTCCTGCCTTTTGGGAGGGCCCCCAGATGGTCTGGCTTCCATCTGACGTTTCTGCTATCAGGCTGGTATCATGGCACAATAGAACAAATAATTCCAAGGGCTCCTTTCTGGTCAGCTTCGAAAACATGTGGTCTGCTCCTCTTTTAGCACATCCAAGACATCCATTAAAATAAAGCTGCTTCATCTCCCATTACACAGGGTATCACAGCTCTACAGGTTAATTTCATGCCATTCAGCCAGGGCTGCTCAAGACGGCTCAACTGCTGGGGTCTTCATGGGTCTGCTCATGAGCTCATCTTGGCAACAGGGCTGGCCATCTGGGGGGGGGGGGGATTAGCCTTCCCATTTTAGCCTAGAGCTCTGAGTGTTCTTCCCACAAATACGAACTAGGCATTTGCTATGAACTTTGGTTCATCTCTTGGCTAGAGGTCAACCCCTCTTGTGATGGATGCCTTGAATAGCCAAGGGGATGGCACTTATGTCCCATCTGGGCCAACGTTGGCTGCAGTGGAGACGTCAATGTGAGATAAGGCCACACTTTCTGCAAGACTCCTGCACAGCCCCTCATCTGTAGGAGGAGAAGGAAGGGATGCTCCCCTCCCATCCAACCAACACGTTGGCCTGACACTTCTTGATCCCATCCTGCAGCTCCCCCTGCCTGCCTGATTCTCCCCAAAGGTCATCTGGGGACAGCGCTGCTATAAGCATCACAAGGGTAGAGCCGCTGCCCACGGCCCCAGGGCAGAGAATGGCCAGAGAATCGATGTGGCCTCTCTGCTTTTATCGTGGCTGCAGAAAGTTCTGGCCCAGGGAAGCTGGCTCTGCTCTGAACTGGAGACGGTAAGCTGCTCCATGCCTGAATGCAACCCAGGCCTTTAGCTGCATTTTTGAATTTCTGGATGGATGTGCACACGTACACATACATACACCACACAAAACGACCACCCTGAGCCTGTGATAACTAGTGAGTTCAGCTTTTGGAGAAAGTGTCCTATTAATGATCACTGAGCTGAGAGTGATAATGCATCTTTTAAAACGGAGGAAGGACATGCAGGGGTGTAACTTAGAGAAAGCCCCCTCCTGGTGCAGCAGAGTTGGGGGTGCTAATTGCTCAGCTCCCGGGGAGCCCCTCAGCTATGAAGAGCCCAGCCAAAATAGACAAAAGGAAAGACAAGGAAAGGCTGTGCAAAGGAGCCCTATTTCATTTAAGGGACAGGTTGCTGAAATCGTAAGGGCCAATGTGTGTTTGTGTTGTCACATAATTTAGAAAAATCAACTGCTTTAATTAACATAAACAGCTCCTGGACTTAAAAATAACAACCCATCTGAGCTGACAATTTGCTTTCAATGTGGGAAAGAAATCCGCGCCAAGAAATGTATTGCATTTTTTAAATAGCTCCCTCAGATTACAGAAGGAGAGACACAAAAGTGACTCAATCCTTTTATTTTAGCCAGGCCTGCAAGCAGTCTTAGAAGAAATCAGAATGACACGAAAGAGCTAACGGCCTTCCTTCGGGGGAACAAAATTTGTTTCCTTGGGAGGTTTGGGGTAATGGCTATAAACGACTGAATAAATACGATAACAGAACTTCTGGAAGGTTGGTCATTATTTTGGAAATACCATAAAGAATTCTGGATTGTAATATTAATCAAAGCAGCCCTCCGCAGCCATGAATTTACAAACTAGAAGACCGAACAATGGAATTTCCCCAGCCTGAACGTCTAAGAAATGGCTTTCTGTACAAAAATCAGCCAAGGAAACTTTTCTGCAGCAGGGAACCTAAACTTAAAAATACTTTCTAATCGCGCTGATTCAGCTGGACGGAAGGAAAGGGATAGAGATTAATACGCAAAAACTAACTTGCAAAAAGGGGTTGTCGAGAAGTGGATTGTATGGGGAAATTTAGAGATAGAATCGGAGAGTTCTCCTGGCAAGGAATTAAATCCTCCAGTTTAAAATCTGGTTTATACCTGTGGCCGAAATGAGACTGTAAAAATGAGCCTTGCCAACATGTAGACTGCCTGTATAAATGTTGTTTTTAAAAAAACAAAAACAAACTTCTGCACACACAAACACACAAACCCCATACGTGCCCAGGCTGCCATTCTTTCCTGCAGGAGTTTAAGATCTGAAATTATGCCTTCCATGTCCATCTCCGCTGTCCTGTATTGCTTAAGGAGATGGCAAAATGCCCCATTTGCTCTCCGGATGATGCTTTAAGACGGAGGGCTCCTGGCCATCCGTGTTTCGTTTTCTACAGGGCCCACCTGTTTCCAGCACAAAATGCCAAAATCACAGTTCCTATGAGAAGAACAGATGCTCCTTCTCCTAATGTTCTTCTCCTGTCAAACGAAGTCAACGTTGGGTAAAAAAAATACCAACTGCCAAACTTTCAGCTCTCAAGGTCAGCAAAAGATTCCTAGGCTGCAAAGCTCAGAGATCATCCCCCAATGCAAGCACAGGCCCATCCAGTAGGAAAAACAACTTTTTAATGCAACTCCTTGAAATCATGTCCTATTAAGCCAGGTGAATTAGAAAGGAACTGCCTGGTCTTCCCAAATATTTCCCAAGGTGCTGAATGCCAACAGGGACAATGCCAGCTAGCCCGCTTTGGCTCAGCCTTTGTACCAGGGTGTATGTCTTAGCTGAAGCCGTCTCTTGCTCCAAATCCAACTGTCTAGCTGAGGCTGCACAAACCCTGGCCAGCAACTCCAGCCACACAAAGGGAGTGTGGCTAATGCCTGGCTAACACACTTGGCCGCCTCCTGCTTTCACGGCTCTGCAAAGCTCCCCATCTCATTTTCTCTACCCAGCACAAAGAAGCAGATTAAGTGGCAATCACAACTTAACAAGATTAACTGTACAGGCACACACAATGCCTGTCAGTCCTTCTATTGGCATGTAAATCGGAAGGATGGCATTGTGATACCCAAAAGATGCGTATCAATCCCTTGTGATACCCTCTGCCACCATTTCGTCCCCTTGTTTTCCATCCCGACCCTAATTTCTAACAAGTCGGTGGAACATGTGATAAACAAGGAGGAGCTCTATTCTCAAGAACTCATTAACCCTCCGAGAACAAGCACAAGCAGCCCAGGTTGTAATGTGCTGCCCGTTATTACCAGGTGGAAGCTGTGCCCAAATCTGGCCTGGACAAAGCATGGCAGCCCACCCACCTCTGCTAGCTGCCCACCCTCTTGCGCTCCAAGGAGAAATCAGGCCTGCTCGTGTTTGCTTTATTCACAGATAAAGGGGATTTTCCTGCACAGTCAACTTCGGACCCTGGACCCCACCATTTCTCTACGGATAGTCCTCGACTTATGACAATTCAGCCCAACATTTATGTCGTTGAGTCATTTGCTAAGCCCAGTTGCGGGAGCCATTTCTAAGCTGGGGCCAGTGGCTTAACCATACCCACGAACCTGGCTGCACCAGGGGATTATGGAAGCAATTGGATATAAATGCAGGCAAAGACTGGGGCAACGCACAATGGTCACTTGGAGACAACCTCCCCGCCAGCAGGAATATAGCAGGTCAGGGCAAATTTAGATGGAAGCTGAGAACAGTCAGATCCACGTGTTGCACCAAGCCACCGCATAACCTGATGAGCTTTAGCCGAGTATGTTTTAGGAACCCAGCTGTGACCTGCAAGCTGCCATTTTTGTTGTGACCCCAAGAACAACAGCTGAAGGAGAACCAAGCATGAACCTGACCTAGATCTCTTGTTCCCCACAAGGGCCAAATCGTCTCTCGGCCTTGCAGCTACTCAACTCAAGTTAAAAAATAAACCAACCACACAGCTGGGCATCAACCACCGGACTTCCTTCTCCACGGGTGGTCCCAAGGCAGCTCTTCTCCTTCAAATGCATTTCTCCGGAACTGGTGCATTTAAGGACAAGTTTGGGAATTTTTCCAATTAGAGAAGTCTCTCAACCAGCCTTTCTTCTAGCAGACTCCAGTGAATAAGAACTTGAAGAGTTGTGAGGGGGCCAACGAGTGGTGAGTTTCACTCTCTCCCTTCTCCCCCTGGCCCAACAAATGCCGGGAAAAGGTATTTAGATTAATGATTTTTCCAGCAAAGTGAGAGGGGAAGCCCCATTTTGCAAAAAATCAATAAATGGCTGAAAGAACCCTGTAAATCCCCTAATTTTATTGCTGGCCACGGAGGCAGAGGACAGATAAGGCTGCTGCAGATACTGGGCCCACTGGCACTCTTTTTCCCTTCCAATGGCTCGGGTGCGAGCTGCTCCCGCCATGCAGGGTGGTCCACGGGAACCAATCAGCAAAATGTGCCACTCGCTTCCTACGTGCAAGCCATGAAGATGCTGCATGAAATTATCAAGAGCTTCTGAAATATTTATGTGGCTTCAAGCCCAGTGCTATGGCCGTTTTTCTGCTCTTCAACTTGCAAGGTTATCTACGTAACACCCTTCCAGAAGAAAGAGCTGCAGAAGAGAGAAATATGTAGGATTGGAAAGAACGGATCACCACGGAATATTAAAACACTCCACTCCCCGAGATTAGAGGAATAGGAGGTCCTTCCAAGGAAGTTGCCCTAGAATGTACCAACATAGCAATCAGATCCTTTCTATCTATCTTCTTGGAATAGATAACCCAAGTGGGTAGACGTAGCTACCTAGTTAAGCGATTATGATAATGGTAATAAATATTGGCAGGAGCGTCTACAGGACCTGCTCAAAGAAATCAAGATGGCAGCCTCAATAGCATGATCCAAGTTTCCATTCTCATGGACATAGCTTGACTTTTCTGATCATACTCCCAAGACAAGCCTGACTACTGAGGTTCCTAATGTGGATGGCTTTCCTGTATCGAGTTCCCTAAGAGGAACCTTGCAGGCAAAATCAAAGGTCCATCTAAACTAGCATCCTAATTCCAGCACCAAGCATCATGCATGAGAAGAGACTTCCTGTTTAGTGATTGTAGTAGTGTCCCATCTCTGAACAGAGACATTCCGACCTTACAGCTGTTGCGAGCACCAGCTTCCTTTCTCAAGATAAGACTATCTTGGATAAAACCCCAGGCCACCATCTTGTTCCCCAGATCCAAGGAGACTAACAGAAATAGGAATTGTACCCACCTGTATGATGGGAGAAAGGAAAAATATCGACAAATACTTGCTTGAGGCAGAGGGGAAAACAAAAAACCAACTGAGAACCATCAAAATAAGTCAGCCATAATTTAGATAAGGGCATCTCCATGGAGGAGGAGGAGGAGGAGGAGGAGGAGGAGGAGGAGGAGGAGGAGGAGGAGGAGAAGAAGAAGAAGAAGAAGAAGAAGAAGAAGGAAGAAGAAGAAGAAGAAGAAGAAGAAGAAGAAGAAGAAGAAGAAGAAGAAGAAGAAGAAGAAGAAGAAGAAGAAGAAGAAGAAGAAGAAGAAGAAGAAGAAGAAGAAGAAGAAGAAGGAATTTCAGGAATCAGATGGTTTAGCAGGAAGGACTGCCTTCTTTTGTAATTATTGTCACAGCTTGCTCCCACAGAAGTCTCCAGCATTTCTCTGCAATTCCTTGCCTGCATTTCTAAGGATTACTGTCGGTTCAATTACCTTAATTGCATGGCTGGGCTCCATGTAACATGATCTGCAAAGAGATGGCTGGTTACAACATCCTAATTGCCACGACTTTTTCCCTGATACACAGATTCATCTTCCTTTTTCTCATTAGCCAGAAAATGCAATGAGTTTTTTCATCAATAAAGGGAAGAGATGTGCTCTACACTAAGTTGTAAGTATAAATCCAGTTTATCCCCAGAAGTGAGTGAGAGAGAACTAGCAGGCAAAGCAACTCCAAATCTAACAGGAGACAAAGGAAAATCCCTGCTGTCTTCTTGGAGGTGAACTGGATCAGTTCTGCTTTGTGAGCTGAGCTAATTTGTTTTCACGTCCAAAACCCAACATGTTCAGCTCTTAAAAAAAAACAAAATAAAACCCACCCTAGTTCAGTCATTGTGTTGGCTGCATCTCAAATACAGAAATCAAAATGATTTGCCACACGAAATATGCAACTACTGAACAAAGTCACAGAAAAGCAATGTAAACACATTAGTCTTGAAATCCAAAGTATTTGTATGGTTGCTGAAGCTCACAGCTTTCAAGGACAGAACAGTACAAAAGAAAACAGGGGAACCTATATTCAGAAACCCTTAAGCAGCAACAGGTTGATCCAATGTTGCTCAAGGATTGGGGAACCAGCTATGAAATGCCCACTTGAGAAAGCAAAGGACTGGTCTTTCCAACTCCTCCGCTTTCCAAATACACAACAGACATAAGACGAATTAATGATCACCTCATCCCGGAGAGGAAACCTCTCTTACACTAATTAACACCCCCATCTATTGGGGAGTTTTTTTCCTCCTATAAAGGCCCAGGATGAAGCTTTAGATCAACATGCCCCTGCATCTTAACACCTGATAAGGTTCTTGGGCAGTAAGTCAGGAAACCTCGGACACTCCTTGGAACAATGGAGAGCAAAAATTAAGTGAAGCCGTCATTCTGTGAAACCGCAACTGATCTTACAATCTGACTTCAACTCTCCTCTGTTTTATAGGCCAGCGAAGGATGTAAATGCAAGGATGGGTAGTAAAGTTGTTTTTTCATCACCGCTGTGAACGATGGCTAAATGAGGCAGTCACTAAAAGAGGATCACCTTCGTTCTGTTTCTCCAGTAAATGAACCCTCTTTTGGACTAGGGGAGTCAAGAAGCCATTTTACACAAATCAACAACATGATCCCCCCACTTTTACATTCTTGGATGAAGGACATGTTCAATGAAGCTAGCCTAGAAAGTCAGCAGGCCATTTTTGGAGTTATCAACTTAAAGGATTGGGATGAAGTACAAGGAGGAGAAGCTGCGTTTCCAGCTAAAATTGGCTGTACCAAGTAACAAGGTGATAGAACATGTAGGCCGATGGCAAAGGCAACTGTCACTCATAAAATAGCTGGGACAAAAATTCCTTCTCCACCGAGTATTCTACTCTAGCTTCCCTTTCTGCAAAGTAAGGCTATAGCCGGTATTCCAAGGTCCTTGCAGCCCCCTTTCTGCGGATTGGGACCTGTATTATTGTTGTTGTTATTTGGCTGAAGAGAACAAACCACCAGCCCATTCCCTTCCTTTCCAGATGCAATTGTGGGCTTGCTTCAATCCTTTCAGCCCAGACATTTTACTCCCCTACTCACCAGGATCGGTGGGTAGCAGTCTGTTGCTAAAATACGAGGAGTGCACAGCTTCATTTTGAAAAGAGATGCTTTTCTTTTTTTTAAGCAACAGTCAGCTGGACAATTCAAGGGCATTTAGGAGGACCCCTTTTGCTAAAACAGTATTTGCTATTTTCATGCCCACTTTGTGACAGCAAGTAGTACATGCCTACCCCTAGAACTCACCATCTCCTGGTGACTGGCCCAAATTCACCTAGCCAGCTTTCATGCCTAGAACTCCCAGTCTCCTGGAGATTGGCCCAGATGGCTTTCATGGCTAAGATGGGACTAGAACTCAGGTTTCCTGCTTTCTAGCCTGGTGCTTAACCAACTAGACCAAACTGGTTCTGTACGGACCCTACATATTTGCACTGGCTGCCCTCCAAGGCCTTTGGTCCTTCCTTGTCGAGAATAAAAATTGAGCCAGGGATTTGAGCAGATACACAACTCGCATTGTTCACCTCTCAGCTCCCAAAATTGGGGGAAGAACTGATTGCACACCAGGAAAGCTATTTTTTTTTTTTTTTTAAAAAAAACACCTTTCCGGTTTCCAAAGCACTTCAGCAAAACAGGTGCGTTAACCCATCCTTACCTTCAGGGAATCGAAGCAGGCGATAACACGTCCATTTTCTACATGGCAGCTCCGGGAAGGGTGGGCAAACTTGCACTCTGTGTCAGAACGAGAGCAGGTTCCTCGCTGGAATTCCCGACAGACTTCCAGCGTCAGCCATTTTGTGTCACGAACCAAGGAAACGTTCAGAGCCATATTTAAAAAACTACCTCCAAAAGGAGGTAAAAGAGGGAGGAAAGGGGGAACACAATGTTCTTCGGGTTTCTTTTGAAGAAAGGGAAAATGCGTGTATGTGTGGGGAGGAGAGGGGATTTCTTTATCAAAAGGAAATTCAAGTTAAAAATGTGAAGAAATAACTTGTTGCTTTGGTAAAATTTCTATTCGTCAGCACTTAGGTTTCATCGAACTCAAATTATGCTTGTCGAAAAGAAAAGGTTAAACTTTTAGCCAATCATAAAATAGAAATCTCATCAGAATTAACTAAAAAATCAAATTAGAGGCCAGCTCCTGAAAGTGCAATTGTCAAAGTTAAAATAGAAATGTTATATATTTATATGTTTTATATATATGTATATATATATGTAATGTTTGTGCCACTGCCAAAACTATTTCAAAATAACTCGCATTCTAGTCCTCTGTCCTCACAGGTCTCTGTGCTCTCAAGTTACGGGTTTCAACTACCCTCACACAAAACCAAGTCAGTCCGAGAAAATACAGCGGGATGGTTTTGCTTCTTGGCAGAAAAGACACCTTCAGCAAGTCTCTATCCTTTCATCCTGTGCCTGAAACATTTACAAAAGCTGCAAGCATTAATACCGGTGGAAGAAATGTTTCTCTTTTTTTTTTAAGTCCCTTCGGTTTGTTTTGTGTTTGTCTTTCTTCTTTCCTTTTTTGTATAGAATCGAGTTTGTTACGTAGTCGGGAAGGAAGGGGCACAAAGATGACTGAGCAAACCAAATGGGAAAAGAAAAGTGGTGGCGGCTGAACTGCTGGCCAAGATGCCCCACGCACACCGAGCAGCGACGGGGAGGGGGCTTCTTTCCAAAGAAGGGGACAGGCGGAAGGGGTGGGTGGGTGCCCTCGATCCCCTTCGGAGTGCAGGTGAGGGAAAGCCCAAGTCGGGGGTCGAAGCAGCTGTAGCGATGCCAGTTTCAAGGAAGGCACTTTTCAGCAACCTGCAGGGAAAAGGAGAAGAGACACCAGCTCAGACAGGAGGGAGCCTCACGCACCCAGATCTCACCCGGAGAAGCCCCTGGACGAGCCTCTCCATCTCGGCCATTGTCTGATTATTGGTCTTATTTTTTTTTTTTTAATTGCAAAAAAGGAGAGAGAGGGAGAGAGGGAGGGAGAAAGAAGGGCATTTCCTACCAGAAGCTGCACATGGTAAGAGGAAGCAGCCAATTGCAGTTCTTCTTGCAACCTAATATCTGGGCAGACGCCCAATAGAGGACCTTGTTCCATATTTATCTCATCCTGGCACACATTGGCTCGCGTTTCCCCAGCTGGTTCGTGCTTGCCTCCCCCTCCCTCCGCCCTCTGTGCCACTGTATGCAAAATGCCTCCGCCGCCCTGACCCAGTGGACAGCCACCCTCCCCAGGCACCCGCAAGCAGCCTCCAGACTGCCCGGTCCCCATCCAAATATGCTCCTGGCACACGGAAGGGGTGCCATCACCAGGGCTTCTCCTGGGCCCTCCAGACACGTTGGGAACAGCTCCCGTTTCCTGACACCTCCCCTCCCCATCGCCCATTGCATCCAATCCCATAATCCAGGCTTGGGGGGGGGGCGGAGAGAGAAGAATGGTCGCAGATTGGAGCTAGACAAAAAGAAAGAAAGAAAGAAAGAAAGAAAGAAAGAAAGAAAGAAAGAAAGAAAGAAAGAAAGAAAGAAAGAAAGAAAGAAAGAAAGAAAGAAAGAAAGAAACTGGATGGGGAAGCCGTGATGCCACCAAAGACAAAGGAAAAGGCAACTGCCCTTCTCGGTGAAGAGAAACTGCTGCTGGCTTCTGCAACCTTGTTGACGGAGGGCCCAGGCATGAAAAAGGCCCAGGGCGGGAGCCTCTGATAACCATGATGCCAGCCGTCCCCTAGTTCACATTTAACACCTTCCCGCTGAAGCAGAAGCTAAATTTCAGGAGAAGTAACAAGGTCCATCCTTCATCAAATGGCATTCCCACCCCAGCCCCGCCTGCCACTTTCCTGGAAAAATCAGCTTAATGGCAGGCTGAAATTTCAGGAGCGAGATGGAACTGTTTCTTTTCTTCTTGAAAAATTAACTCTTGGAACAGCTGGATTTTGCAGCAGACATCTCACCTCCAGCTGTACTTTTGGGCTATACAACTTGAGTTCAGGTTCTTCTCTCAATGCAACATACACAACTTTGGGGAGGGGGACAGTGCTGTTTCTAAAGAGGGAGGCTGCTGTCCGTAATTCTTCTCCCCGACTGCTAGCAGAGGACTTCAGAAAAGCTTGTGTGAACTATCCCAAGGACCAATCTACTTCCAAAACATGTGCTCAACTCGCAGGTATGGCAACCTTGGCTGGAAGCGAGTCCATCTGTACCCACTACTCTTCCTTGTCAAATGTCTCTAGGAAGCCCATCAGCAAAACCAGCAAGATTATTAGCCCTTCTCTCTTTCATTCTCAGCATCTGGCGCTCAACAGCAACCTGACCTGGTTCCAAATCACGACCGAGCACAACTTAAAAGGAGCCTGGTGGACATGGCCAGAGGTGACACTTGGTTTCGGGGTGCCTTTCCCCTCCCCTTGGAGTGAGGAAACCATTGGCACAGTCTACCCTTGGGGTCTTTTGGAGCCATTTCCAGAAGCTTGAGATGTTTACATCGTTGGACAAGCAGAGAACATTGACATGACTATGCCGAGAGTCCTATTCAATGCTCTGGAGCCCCAGTTTCTCCCAGATCCTTTGGGGACCTCAGCACAGTGAGAAGCCAAAAGACAACTGGACTACAGGAGGCAAGTTCAGTATGGTGCCAGTCAGATGCCCATTAGTGCTGACAGCCATGCCTGCAAAGACAGCCTGAGACCTCCACTGCCTCCTCAAGTACTCCACCACCACCCCAGTTGCCAACTGGTCAAAGACTTGTTATCTGTTCTCCACCATCACCATTTATGTTGACCTTCCCACAAACTTGCTGTGATAGATTGTGAGAATCTTTGAAGACAAAATGGCCAATGTGACCAGAGGAAGCAACCCATCAGGATTTGGACCAAATGCTTATAGTTGACTGGCCTGTCCTATGCTCTTCAGCCTCTTCCTCATCCTGGCTCATTCCAGCAAACCGAGGATGGTGACGGGATGAATCCATGGAGACATGAATCCATCTCTGCGGGGGGTGATGCAGTGATATCCCCAGCCTTAAAGAAGGTAATCACCTTCTGAAAAAAATCCTCACTGGATCCAGAGGAACTGCACCAATTACTGCCCAATCCTAAACACTCCATTTTGGGAAGGTGGGGGAGAGAAGGTGAGTCTATCAGCTGAAAACATTCCTGAGCACATGGTTATCCTGGCCCTTTTCTATTTTGGTTCAGGCATGGTTTGGAGAGACACTCAGGCATAGTCAACCTGATGGATGCTCTCTTGTGGGAGAGGGACATTAAAGCACAATACATCACCTGGAAGATTCTGGCACCACTTCTTTCCATCCAGTACATGAGGAGAGGGGTGGAGAGTTGGGAAAAAAGCTGCGCAGCTCTGCAAACAAGCTACAACAGGCTGTTGTATGGGTTGGAATGAGGTGGAATTCTTCTAGGAATCACACCCATTTAAAGCAAAGCAAGATCTGGGCAGCTTTTTACTGAGCGAAGACTTCTCGGCTGAATCAGGATCCATGGTTGACGGTCCTCTCCCAGCCTTCTACAAGTCACCAGGCCCTTTTAGGATTCCCAGTTAGCGACTTTAGCTCAGGATGATGGATGCTATCCCTTCAATTCATCCAGAGGACCCTAAGCCAAGGACTTTAGTTCTAGATGGTTGGCTGCTAAAATATTTAAGAAACCCATTGGGCAGTAACTGCCTAAACTTGGCCTGGTTTCTCTCTGATTACCTGCAGAACACTTTGCTTTTAAACTGACATTTGGCCTGTTCAATTCCCCAGCCTTTGCGCAGCTGGAAGCTGATACCTGGGCAGTCAAAATGGGCCGTTTAGCGACCAGAGGGAAGAGGGGGCTCTAAGCAAACACAAGGCTTGAATTAACCAAGACATACGGAAATGAGAGGGAGGGGGAAACCTCCTTTTAAAGAGCCCAATAAACGCTAAATATGTTGGGTGGCCAGCAGCAGAAATGGGGCTAGTACAACCGTAAGTCATGGGGAGGACATCAGGATCTCAACATTGGCTTTACTGTGTGCCCCCAGTTCACATGAAGGTAAAAGAGGGAGGAAGGGAGGCACCCTCGGGACTTGCAAGGTTCTGTGTGTACAACTGTTCCAGGTCTAGGACACACTACAGTTAGTCCTCAACTCATAACAGTTCATTTAGTGACCAAAGTTACCACAGCACTGAAAAAAGTGACTTAGGACCATTTTTCTCACTGACAACCACTGCAGCATACCCATGGTCACGTGATCAAAAATTCGGACACTTGGCAACTGACTCATACTTGTGACAGTCACAGTATTTTGGGCTCACGTGACCCCCCCCCCTTGCGACCTTCTGACCAGCAGAGTCAATGGGGAAGCCACATTCATTTAACAACCGTGTGACTAAACAATTGCAGTGATTCACTTAACTGTGGCAAGGAAGGTCATAAAATGGAGCAAAAATTCACTTAATAAATGTCTCACTTAGCAACAGAAACATTGGATTCAATTATGGTCGTTAAGTCGAGGATTCCCTGTACAACAACTGAGCTTTAGGTCTGAATCGTGTCTGTTTCTCAGTCTGGGCTACCTTATCTGGCTGACACCAAGGCTGAAAGATGTGCTTCCTTTTCCTTATTAAGATAAAAGTGTGAATTAGCAGGAGGGCTGTCTGGTTTATTTTCATAAATCACTTTTCTGGCTGGGCTCAAGACACATTTACTTGACTGTTGTCTTGGTAGCAGATCTTCTGTCCTTCAAGGCCATCTCTGCCTTCCCTGCCTACTCCAACCGACCTCAGAGGACTGCAGGGGAGGGGGAGGTCCAAGTCGCATCCATTGCGTGCACCATTCAGGAGTCAACGGAAGGAAGGGTAATTTAAAAAGTTAACTGAACAATGAATGCATTGTGCCAAGTTAACCTTTCTTTCCCGTTCTGTCTCCTACCTTCTGAGGAATCTCCACTTTGAGAGGAAGGATGAAGGGCAGGGATGGTGCAGTTTGGGGCAAATCTAAGCCGCTGGCATGCAGGGTAGCGGAGAGGCTGAGTTAGTGCTCAGCAACCGAGGGGCAAAAGGAGAGATCAGGTAGAAGCATCTGGAGATAACAACCCTCTTTCCTCTCCTCATTGCTAGAAAACACATTCCTACTTAAAACCGAAGGAGCTACTCCATTAACACAAATACTTCATAAGGCGGCTAGACACTTCAAATACTTCTCCGTGAACATTTTGTGCACGAACGTTTCTCCTCTCCGAGGAAGTTTACTTAATTTAAAAGGTAAAGTTGGGCAACCTATAAAAATGAAGAGGCCCCCCCCCGGTTGTTTAACCTGGCCCTGCCCCAAAGATGTACCGTATGTGCCTGAAAGGAGGGCTCAGAGAAGGCGGCCAAAGGAGGTCAAAGGCACGGACAGAGCGGTAGTGGTCAACCGCCTCACTCGCAGCCATTCATGCCTTAAGCCACGCCCAGTTTGGATTACTGCAATGTGCTTTCCATGGAGCTGCCCTTGAAGACCACTCAGAAGTTACAACTAGTCCAGAATGCAGCAGTTTTATTGTTTTAGGGTTGTTTTATACAGATGGTCAATAGTTTATTTAGTGATCGTTCGAAATTACAAGAGCACTGAAAAAAGTAACTTATGACCATTTTTCACATTTATAATCGTTGCAGCATCCCCATGGTCACGTGATCAAAATTTAGACGCTTGGCGACTGACTCATTGTTATGACGGCTGCAGCATCCTGGGGTCACACGATCCCCTTTTGCGACCTTCTGACAAGCCGTGTCACTGGGGAAGCCGGATTCATTTAACAACCGTGTTGCTAACTTAACTTCAGAGATTCACTTAATA